TCAAAGACTTATTTCTTGAAAACTGCTGGCTATTCTGAAATAAAACTTTAGGGTTTGTATATGTAATGTTTGCATATAAAATATGATTAAAGGTTACCAGTGTATTTACACTTTTACTGAACAAACAGAGTTGTTTAATACTGAAAATATTGTGTGGAAGGCATCAATTACTTTCAGTGCATGTATAGCTTTTCTCTTTTCCTAATTATTATTATTATTAAGTTTAAAGTGGTTGAATTTTACGTAAGTGGTATTTATACATTATTTCTAATTTACCATTTATTTTAAGTTTTTTAAACTCTATTCATCGAGACCTATCTAATGAGTCCAAACACGATATTTCTGCTGTAAGTTTTCGAAGAGTATGTTCATCATCTGATAATACTGGTGCCAGCATGAAGTCAAGGTTAACAGATAACTAATTACTTTTATTTCGTCAAAATCTTTAGATTACGTATAATAAATTCATAATATCGCTACCTATTCAAATCAAAACAAGTATTAGGTACTTCATTTACTAGTATATAAATTCATCAACACACAAGTAAATGATTTTTAAATATATTCAGAGCCAAAAAATCTTTGTGCATTTAAAAAATTTTGCCGATACGGATTCACTATTGCAGGAAATTGTTGAAAAAATATATATCGAGTATCTACTACTATCGACGAATACATTTGGCAACAACGCATGGTCTCGGCCGGAACGGCAACATCGCATACTAGAATACAAAGATAGTGGTAGAACGCGGAACGGCAACATGTTGCCGTTCCGCCACGCTACCGTTATAGTGGTAGAAAGAGAGAGACAGTGGAATCAGCAATATCTACGGATCGTGGCTGGATCAACTAAGTGTGCAAGTTTATATAAATGTATATATATATATATATACATTTGTCTTTAATTCAAAGGAAATACAAATAATGAACGCATCACATTTAAAACAGTAATAAGTACGTAATATTATCACATGGTAACAGCACGTATTATGGCAAAAATAAACATCGGCTGATTTGAAAAGATTTATTATAGTAATAATAGTAATCTCAAGACAATTCACACAGCTTCGTCTAGACCCAAGTTAAGCTAGCTGAAGATTATGTTATGGGTACTAGACAACTGATATAAATACAAAGATTTTTTGTCGTAAATACATATATATTATCTATACATAGAAAACACCCAGACCGTTACAAACAATCATACTCATGAATACAAATGTTTGCAGCGTGCGAGGAATCGAACCCTCGACCACCAAGCAGGAATCAAAGCGGTGTGCTAGCTAAATCGCTAGACTACCGACAACTAGCTGTACACGCGACTTCGTCCGCGTGGAATTTAACTTCTTATATTTTATAAAAATAAAGTGAAATTCCACACGGACGAAATCCCGTGTACAGCTAGTCATCAATAAAAAAACACGTTGGTATCTCTAACATATTATACAGTAGCTGTTCCCGCGACTTCGTCCACGTGGTTTTTAACTTTATTTTTCTAAAATAAAAGTAGCCTAAGTTACTCCTTATTACATCGGCTATCTGCCAAAAAAAGTCCCGTCAAAATCGGTCCAGCCATTTCAGAGATTAGCTGGAACAAACAGACAGACGGACAAAAATTGTAAAATATGTTATTTTGGTGTATGTACCGTATTTATATTCATATGCAAGTAGTAAAAAACGGTTATTTCAATAATACAAACAACAGGCTTCAACATTCTCAAGTACCACAAAAAAGATGTTTTTTCTATGAAATAAACCGTTTTTATTAAAAACAAGCTGTTCCCGCGACTTCGTCCGCGTGGAATTAAACTTTATTTTTCTAAAATAAAAGTAACCTAAGTTACTCCTTATAAATCAGCTACCTGCCAAAAAAAAGTACCGTCAAAATCGGTCCAGCCATTTCAGAGATTAGCCGGAACAAACAGACCGACAGACAGACAGACAAAAATTATAAAAATTGTTATTTTTGTATATGTACCTTATATATATTCATATGCATGTAGTAAAAAACGGTTATTTCAATATTACAAACAGACACTCCAATTTTATTTATATGTATAGATTATTATTTATTTATTTATTTTTTCATCCAAAATAATACAAATTGTGTAGGATAACGTAATAGTAACATTACAGTAAAATTTTGTCAACAACATAATAGCAACTTAAATATTAAATCTCGGTATATCTATAGACTAGCTGGCCCCAGCGACTTCGTCCGCGTGAAATTTTATTTTATTTTTCTAAAATAACAGTAGCGTAAGTTAATCCTTATTACATCAGCTACTTGCCAAAAAAAGTCCCGTCAAAATCGGTCCAGCTATTTCAGAGATTAGCCGGAACAAACAGACAGACAGACAGACAAAACTTGTAAAATATGTTATTTTGGTGTATGTACCGTATTTATATTCATATGCAAGTAGTAAAAACGGTTATTTCAATATTGCAAACAGACACTCCAATTTTATTTACATGTATAGATGTATAGATTAAAAAAAAAGTAACAGTCATAAGGCTAGTCGTATGCCTAATATATATAATAATGTAATAAATTCATTTAAACAGAAATTGCGGCAACATTATTTAAATTTGTAACTTTTTTACTGTCCTTCTCCATTTTTCACATCTTTCTGTTATATCCCTATAGTTCTCTCTATATTTTCTGTTTTTCTTACTTTCAATTTGAGACTGTACTTATAATTTGATTATCAGATCATTATGTATTTATTTATATATAATATTTATACATTTATGGGTTATATTTAAATGAATTTAATCGATAAAATCGTTGTTAAGTATTAAATTAATTGTAAGTGATATTAACTATTATATTATGCATAAAAAATATTTGTAATAATAAAGAAAATACATTTAAAATATTTTACTTGTTGTGTTAGTTATTTATAAGATCTTACTATAATTGTTAGCTGCTTTACAATTTAGAAAGTACAATAGGTAATGTAAATTAAAATTAATTGAATACTTAACAACGTTTTGTTCGATTAAATTCATTTAATTATTAAAATAGTTAATTTAAAATTAGAATAAAGACAAAAAAAAAATAACAAAAAAAGTCGGTGGCGGGAATCGAACCTTGAGCGTCCGTTTGGTAAGTTGATTCAAAGGCTTATTAAAATCAAAATTCAAAATTCAAAGTTACTGGTCATTTTGAAATAATACTTAGGGTTCGCATACCCTTATCGGATACTACTACTACACGGAGTTTCGTCAAAATAGAATATCTAGGTTAGGTATAATAAATTCATAATTAATAGACCGTTACGGTATCTGTATATACTCGGATCAAAACAAGTACTATGAAATAAGAAAGAGTATATAAATTGATTAACACAAGTAATTGATTTTTGAAATATATTCAGAGCCAAAAAGTCTTCTTTCTTTATTTATGTACTTGTTAGATGCGACAGCGACTTTGTTTTATACTATACTATACTATGTAATGATTGATATACCTAAAATAAATAAAATATCTGAGGTTTGGACAAAAACTCAAAGGGTAATTTATTTTGAAAAAGTATTTTGAAAATACCTATTTTGCTTTTAGTGTTATAGTACTTTAACTGTTATATTTTAAGTAACAATGTTTAATTATAATTAATACTACTGCACCAACACTCCGATCGTGCAAAAAAAATTTGCTGTTTCATTATTTTTTAGTTCAATTAGTGGTCTACCTAAGTCCTGGGGTAAGGGGGAGAGTCATGACGCCCCCATGACTCCCAAGACCTCCATGACGCTCCCCCCTGGATCCGCCGTTACGTCTTCTCTTCATTCGCTCAGTAACGTTGTTACTAAAGGGAAAATTCCCGTCCAAAAAATAACAAGTATTGAGGTTTGATCTGGAGTCACGTTCCTCTAGACTGATTTCTATAAATATTTAGATTAGATAGACTATTATTCTTGAAATACTAGCTAGACATTATTAAGTTACTGTAGCCATAATGTAGTAGTCCAAACGTGCCAATGAGGAAGCCCTTGGCAAATGCTGCACCCTGATTGGCCCGTTTGAATTGGATCAAGAAGTGGTCGAATGCCAAAAAGGTGGATTTGTATAAAATCGTGTATAAATCGCTTAATTATTATTATTACTCGTCGTGACAGTTGTGGCTCAAAAAGGATCAACATTTATATATCGTCAGCTGGCATTAGATCAACAAAAGGCCTCCGGATCAACAAGTGAAAAAGGATCAACAAAAAACTACCTATACGGCACGTCTGAGCCACAAAGTGCCCAAGGGGATATTTATATATATATATATATATATATATATATATATCAAAGTCATTTTAATTGAAGTACAATTTGTACCACGTCGTCAGTGTAGCTACCTTTATCTCACTTATTTCTCTATCAAACCGCTTGTTTTATGAACTACAATATTCTGGTTGGAAGGGGGTATCATGGCAGTAAAATTACAGCGTATAGTGTACTTAGGTGTCAGTCCTCAGGAATTGCAATGCAAGGTCCACAGGAGTCACAAAACTACATTATGTCCATGGTGCTTTTAACTGTTTTAACATTAACTGTTAGTCATAGCTGATCTTTGGCGTGAATGTAGAAGTCATTTCAAACCTCTAGAAGTAGTATGCAGCGGCTGAATGGGCCATTCCTGCCCATGGGCCTGAATGAATGGGCCATTCGGATATAACTTTAGACTGAGGGCACTGTTAGGAGTGTGTTTAAACCTCGTTTCAAACAGTCGTAAATTCAATTAGCCGTTTTAAATATGACAGTGAATCAATCGAAGCGGAAGTCAATCGTGCTCATTGTATATATGCGGTGTTGTTTTCTATCATAAGAGCAGAATGCTTATTTCCTATTCCAATTGCTAAAAAAATCTATCTAACAATACTTTTCTTCTAGAAACAATGTGGATAGACTTAATTCTGCATATTCTATGCAGTTGCACGCAACATTTCGCGCTTCAATAAACTGAACGCATACGTCCATTCTAGCGTGCAAAAGTAAATGTACTCACCGTAGAGTGTCTCCAGAAATGTATGAGCGCGTGAATATCGGTGGCTGGCGCCAACAGAAGATAGTCCCGCCATTCGTCGTAGCTTATATTTAGACTACCGTCCTGGTCCATCCTGGGAACAAACTCATAAATGTAAACGAGATAGAAGAACGCAATATAAATAAATGGATACATGGAGCACATGTAATTAAATGTAAAATGTTATTCTTTTCATTTGTCATATTTGCGTATGACAAATGAAATAATACTACTACTTTCGCCCATGATTCGTTGTACATAGCTACGGAATACGAAAGCAATGATCGTTTGTGGTGAAATACTTTATACATGGTGTTCTGATGGGCCATACATACGCATGTCAGTTATATCAAAGCGGCATAGACAAGACCACAGATATTGTGACATGTATATGAAGGTTTGTTGGTTAATGATGTACAAATTAGAAGCTACAAGTGGTGACAACACATTTCTTTTGTTAGATCGATACAATGAAAACATGTTTGCAGACGATCATCGCTCCACATTGCTACGTACAAAGTTTAGCGCATGTTTTAGCGTCGAAGCCAGCTACTACGTGATATGTTGTTACAGCCGACTTCTCTCGACTTACCACCAGAATTTTGGCCAAACTGCTTTTCTGAAACATTGCAGTGGTGCTACTTAAAATGGTATATTATCAGTAAGGCCGCGTGCAGTTTATTTATATTATAAAATAAAATATTGTTCTATAATCGTTTATTAGTTCTTTGTCTTGCAATAAAACTACACAATAACGAGACTCAAAGTGACACTGTTTCATATTTTTATAGGCGATAGGAGGCGTGAACAGGAAACTGAACTGTGGCCACTGATGGTCCACAAATAAATTCATCAAAAGCGTATACGACAAATCAATCTGTTGACATCGATCTTTGACTCCTACACACATACAATTTTTTTTAAATGTGTACCAAACCACATAGAACTTAAGTTTGACATATAAATACTACGCGCCTAGCCCAACTAATTCAACTTGTATAATTGTAGGGATACGACAGGGCGCACAACTGATCGGGAGACAGATCGAGATGTACGTAGACACTTTTATAAAAGTATAAAACCCAGGTCGAATAGGAACTTCGATTTAAGATATTACGTATTATCGAGTCTTTACCTATGAAATTGCCTATTTAATACAATTTTTTTTTCAAATACAGATATGTATATACGTTTATTTAGTGAATGTTAATAAACTGTTAATAATAAGGATTCTAAGAATACTGATGTCTTTACAGGGGAAAAATATAGCAACTTGAAATAATATAAACAATATAATATATGCGTACATATAAGATATATTTAATAATTATGATATTATAACTATATAGTAATTTGTTCCTCAGTAGCGCACAGCAGAGAGAATTCGCCAAATATAATGTTATATAACTAGACTATCCTTTATTTTATAAATATAAGATTAATATTAAAACAGATATAGAACACTGCTGTTCAGACAATAGATGCAGACTCTAAAGACTTAACATGGGTATTGACTCTTACGCTGTTACCTACAGATATTGACTCTATGTAAATACACATAGAGTCAATGTTTGTAAGTATCACAATAGCACTCAATATCATATAGTTATATTAATTTGGGGCGAGCTATTCAACTGTTTTTTTTCTTGTTCACATTAGATTTTGGACACGAATAAAATGCAGTTGAATAACTCAAACAATCGCAAGCTATGAGAATGAGGGCGTTCTCAGGATAATTATAGCCAATCGTCTTAAATCGTCTTGATTTGGGAAAACGATGAGACTTCAATTTAATCGACGGTATTTAACGTGTTTTTTGAGTCGCCAAACTTATTAGCCCTAGATTTATGATATGAAACTGGCATTAATATGTTATCTATTAGTGAGATCATATATACATAGTACCTGTGATAGTTACTTTGTAAAATATTAGGTTAAATTTGTCATGTAAGATATACATTTTGGAATTAATTTGAATTTATTTTCTTTTATCCTTCTATAAAACCGGCAATTTCTTAGATAAAAAGTAGAATATTCATAAACGCTAAATAAGTTTACGGTCGCTAATTAATGTTAAAACTTCACAAAAATTTGTTCAGAAATTAAATAAAAAGATATAATTATTAACTATTTATTAATTACTATTCCATTCATTCATAGCAACATATGTTGCTGCACAGTACTTTACATTATAATGAGAAGACATCAGCCTATGCACGCAAGCCCTTTATATTGCACTTTATTCTCTTACTCGAATCCTATGCCATGAGAAACTTAAAAGAACTGGCGACATGTACAAAGTATTCTTCTTACTCTGTCATTATTGAGTATGTTGTGTCCTCCACTGTACCTTAGACCATATACCTGTCAAGATCTTTTAAGATAAAATTTCGTGGCACAAAATTGGATTAACACTGTACAATAGAGTTTTCGTAGAATTATGACGTATTAGATAACGATTTTCCAACGATAAGAATGTCTCAGTATTAACAATAATATAATATTATAGTGTTCATATAATATAATATTTATTTTAAATGAACGTTTTCCGCAATGGTTTATATTTAATTTCATATAAATATTACATACTGATGACTATATTACCCATCAGTACATTTCCATTAGGAAAATCCATTTTTAGGGAAAATAATCAAATGTAATACAGAGTATGATGACTTATTAACTTGTAATATATTATATTTAAATCTAAATTAATATATACTCATTATTTAATGTACATCATTAACTTAAATAAATCGTTATCAACAAAAACAAACTATATATTATATATCTATTAGTTAGACTATTTATGGGTAAAAACCTCTCTGTATTTCTGTAATACAATTACACATATACTATAGTACTATAATGGTAACAATACACATCCATACTAATATTATACATATTAAATGTATCTGTCCGTTTACCTTTTCAGTTTACATACTAAGTACCTAATTAAAAAGTATTAGCGACCACAGATGTTTTAGCGTTTATAATTGCAGAGAGAATATATTAATAATAATACAATATCAGTAAGTAATATTGGCAATAAAATTCGCCCAACAACAAAGCTAAAATAAAAGGGAAGATTAATATACCGATTAGATATTGAAACGTCTGCAAATAAGCATAGTAAAATTCCCTTTATCGTTGTGCGATAAATAAATAAAAGACAAGAGTATAGATGTACAGATCCACGCATGATTGATTACCGACTTATCGATTGAATAATTTAGAATATACAAATGACAAAAATAAAAGAAAACAAAATAAATTCGCGTTTAAAGGTTTGCTTTGTTGTCAATTTGTACGTCGCATTAACATAAGTATATAATATATAATCACTGGCAATCTAACCTTTTTAATAAATTTGTTGCTTCATTCCTTCCAACGGCGATGCCCATATCGGCAAAAGCCGATATGAGTTCTTCCAGATCAACTTTTCCTGTAACAGAGATTTTACGGTATAATTAAATTAAAATAAATATTCATTCACTAAAAATTAACTACTTTAGTTATATCAATTTTATTCATGAAGTAATGAAAATTTAAGTCCCTCTTGGGAGATCTTTCTTCGCTTGTCTTTTTCATATTAATCTTAAATAATCTTATAATATCGTCTTTATGGCATGTTTGTGTAAATGTTAACCCCTGACGTATCTTTAATGAGCGTCATGTATGAAGAATAAATAATTTCAAACAAGGGTTAGTTTTTTAGAAGTAAATATTTAATTATTAAATTACATGTCAGTCTAAATGTTCAATTAATTGACTGAGCTAGGGGACTATTGTCCAGATTCAGACTAATTTCACTATAAATTTTAACACAACAATACATAAATTGTTCTTTTAAAACTTAATTAAGACCAAATTGATAACATTTTCATTAACAGTTAGTTTTTTCACTGAGCATCAAATATTTAACTAGTACGTTGTTAGTGTGTATTTATATAATTCTGGCGCTGTGTGAATTGTCCTATTTTATTATATAATTATTAAAACTATAGTAATATTATATTACTCTACTGTATAAGGAATTAGAATACTATTTAAGAAGATAAAATATGAATTCAACTTACCATCTTGGTTCTTGTCCAAATGCGAAAACTGCAGTTTGAGATTCTTCTCGTGTTCCCGCACGTAGTGTATAAATTCCGACAGAGTGATGTCACCAGCATCTTTACCCCCGGATTTAGCCAAAAATTTCTGAAATACACCAACAAGATACTTAATACCTCAAGTTACTTAATCAAAACTCGTCTGCTTGAGTATGGGCTATGGCTATGGGCAGTATCTATGTATCTATGGATAGTCTCACTTATTTCAGCTGCCAAGCAGCTGTTTTGTACGTTGTGTTTCAATTGTAGGCTGTGGATTAACGTGAAATTACAGAATATGAGGCACGATCGTAGGTGGCACATGATGACAATATCTATAGTGCTGTTCTGTTATATATATATATATGTGTATAATTTCTATAACTTTTCATTTTCTTTTGTTAGGCTAGGTATAGATATACTGCTGTCCCAAATGTCAAATCGCTAACAGCAGTTAGCAAGCTGTATATGATGAGGAACTGTCAGTCTGTGTCATCTTTACATTTTTGACTAAAACCCAATTACTAATATTATTAATCATACAAAAAAAATTTTATACAACATAAAAACATTATAGCTCCGTATTACAACTTCAACAACCCTAATAAATAAAAAATATGCATATTAAATTTACTAAAAAATATTAATGACAATATTATGACTTCATAATGGCGAAAAATATTGTTATAGAACTTAAGAAGCTACCATTTTCTTAAGTTCTATTTTTGTAAGTTTCATAAGACGTGGGCCGGTCATAGCCGTCTATGGCCTTGAGGTTTAAGAAACCTTGGGCCTCGAAAATTTAAGCTATTAAAAGTTCTGAACGCGAGTGAAAAAAGTTTACTCTTTATGAAACAACGAATATATTCATAAACGAAATTTGTTTTTATTTAGTCTTGCAAAAATATTTAATGAATTACTACGATACAGATAAGTCTAATAGCTTTGGCAGTTTTATCTTGATGATATAGGATGTAAATATTTACGTCAAAAATTAAGAAAGTCACGGGATCTTAATACGATTTATGATACATTTAGTACCAACCACTACGATTTTCAGCAAGTTTAAACATAGTCTCAGTTTATTTCTTTCGTGAGTCTGTACATGTAGAAATGATAGGTCGTACCATACCTATAATTTCTACATAGCTACATTTTCTACGAATAAGCTAAACAGTTACAGTGTTAATGTTACTATTATACGGTTATGATTTGCATTTTAAGAATAAAACTTTAGGTTTCAGTTGTTTCTGTTTAAGAAATACACAAACTTTATGTATTGCGCTACTACTAGTTAGGGGACATGTAAATTGCCTTCACATCGTGGCCGTGACTGTAACAGTTGTCACCTCGGCCGTAACCGCGCAATGGAAGCTAATAGAAGCCTTACCTTTGTTATTATCTGATATACGTGGTTTAAAAATAAACTCAAGTGCAACAGTGCCTACTAGTATTTCATGCCAATGTGTTTATTTATTACCGTTATATTATATCGGTAAACATGTACTAGTATACACTAGTTAAGTCTAGGAAGAATACAGAAAGGATCTCATGGTTAAAAGCGCGTTGTCAATTTTGATTTCGCGCAAAGTTTTGTGCTTTCTATCATTGTACCGAAAAAATAGTATTGGAAAGTGTTCATGATAAATTTATTAGAAAGAAAATAATTGCATTTTATGAAACACATTTTATCATTCAGCATACTAATAAATATTATTTAGAAGTGAAATTGAAAAGGATGTAACATATGGTAAATTGGAGCTAGGTTTAAAATTATAACGCATAACAACTTACAAAACTGTTTATACAGGAATGAAAGATGGCTCTTGGAATACTCGTAAATGCCTCTTACATGTTTACACTAAACAAAACTTTAAGAAATATATCAATATATACTTTTTTTCTTCTTCATCGCTGTAAAAATTGATGAATCATAACATAGCGTAATTTGTTTTAGGAAGCGAAAATCCACGCATCTGAAGCATTGAGGACAAGAGACACCTAGTTAAAAAAATTTGGAAAATTTTATATATTCCAAGACATGTAAGCTCGCAAATTTATATACATATATATTAGCGTGGTAGTAGTGCATACCAATATTGATTTCACCAGATTATTAAACTTATTCAGTGAAATAAACTCAGATAATTTATGATAGGGCTGGTTTACCGAAATACTTTAAAATATATTTAGTTATGATCTTACATTGTTGATAGTGTAATAAGACAACTGAAGTAAATTATTAATGAAGTTACCCCAGTGTTCAGTTCGCCTTGTGTTTTAAAATTAGTTGTACTTTAATGTCCGTGCCACCGCCCAGTTGGCTGGCAGCTGTCTATTATAGTTCAACGAATGACTAAAAATGTCTCGATACTCTCAAACAAGTATATGTTAATATGTAAAAACAAAAAGACAACAATGCGCTGACAGACAGACATAGACTGTCTCTTTATAGATGTCTATTACATCGCATTGAATAGATTATAATGTATTACAGTATCTACATAATTATATATTATTATTACAATTGTCTATAGAGCAACCAGTCTAATCATGAACACTTCGTTATCAACACAACAAAAATTGTCTGATTATCCTAAATGCAATTGCCAAAATCTATCTGTTACTACTACTACTACATCTATTATAAAAAAAATAATCTTAGAATAAAATTTAATATTTGAAATACAATAAAAATCCTACAACCATATTGAAGAAAAATTTTTTGTGTTCGAAGCTAATAGAATTCATAAGTAATTATAAAATATTAACATATTTCATATAATTGCGCAATATCAACCTAATATCCAACTATAAATGAACACAGCTGATGCGACGAATTCTATAATATGTATATTATGTGCTACTAGTACAAAGTGGAGGCCGTGTGGAGTCAAGTTTCAAGGCCTTCTATATACGCGATGATGTTACATGCTTCACTGAATACCAGCACATAATAATACGCGTGCGATCAAGGTGGTATCTAAGAACCAATAAGACAATAAATTATCATAGAAACAATAATAAAAATAAACAAACTGGAGTTTAATATGGATAGATACATTTTATATTACTATATTCCGTTTCGAGTCGTCCAGATAAATAATGAGCTTATAAAAACAATTTATTGTTTGCAAAGCAATTAATAAAAACTGGGACATTTCTTGGTCAGCGCATTAGATTGGCAATATCCAAGAAACACTGCTAATTTCTTTAATGTCTTTTACTTTGAATATGGTAAATGCAAATTGTTTGTTAATAATACCGCTCAATAATAAATTCAAACTTGCATATGCATGTACTAAAAGACATGAATGGAAATTAAATATGATCTTAGTTTGTTCTGAAACTATATGTAGATATAAATTATTACAAAACTTTAACATCTCAACAAAGTGTCATCATTTGCTTTATAATTCGATCTAGACGTTATCCTAAATATCCTGCATGCTGTAATATATCCTATATATAGTTAACAATCCCAACCTTTTAATGTAAGGCATACAGAATTAAATTAGTCATCGTAACGTACACCAAATATGAGTTCATAGAAAAAATAAAAGCAAAGTAATCGAGAAGCATTGGCATGTACATCACGTTACGAGTTCTTAACAGGCGAAACCACTTGCGAAATCTAGTCACATAGAACTACACGGTAGATACCTAACTGTTAACCATTTCCAGTAAGCGAATTCATTGGTGCAGGAAATATTAATTGTGCATCTCACACACTGTAATGTAACAGACTGTGCTAATGGAAACAAGCGAATTGTTCTATGCATAATTATAATACCCCAACTACACACTTTGTACGTGTAGATCTGGCTATCTTCACGCGAAGTATCACACGAGATCAATAGACTGGGCCCAGTGCCAACAGCTTCAATTAATTAAAACTCTTAATTCAATTGTATTAATATGCAGGGGGCAGAATTAAAAATAATAAAATATATCTTTACGCCTTTAATAACAGATGCGACAGTCAGACATTAACAACTATATTTAACGTGGCAGAGGATAAAACTACCACCGTCTCAAAATAATTTGGTCTGATATGTGTATTTCCGTCACCTGAGAGTATTTTTAGTGTCGGCTAGATCAAAATTCACGATCTATGCGGTCATTAGGTCAGGGTAGCAAATCTCTGGGTCACGACGCTTTTAGAGAAGTCAATATGAGCTTTACAATTCAGCAATTTTGGTAAGGTAACTGTTTTAGTCATAACCTTCAAGTTTTAATACTGAGAGTACTCATACGAGACAGAGAATAAGGAGGTGAGATAGCTGCTGTAAAAAAGTATAATGTCATATTTACGATAAAGAACAAAAATAGATAATAATGTTCGGAAAATTATGCATAATAGAACTCCCTACTATGATATTTATGTAAAAAGAGTATCTATAAGTTATATATAAGTTATCAACAAGATTTCGTTGATGTCAATAAGATGAATGAGTACTCAAGTCATACAAGCAGATATACAAAATACCTCATTTGTCAGATAAATTAGTATGAATGACTGAAAGTTTGAAACTGCGTGACGTTTCTATTATATATATATATATTTATACACAATAAGTACATATTTGGAGTGTACAGGAAATGCCTTGAATAAGTAATGCAATTATTGATATGAAAATATTAAAAGATTTCGTTTATTAAAAAGAAAATTTAAACGAAAAAACAAGTATTGTTACAATACGGGATGAAACTAATTTCATAGGTAATATTGGCAAAAACCATTCGGAATTGCGAAAATAATAATATACCTTCCGGACTATTAACCCAGATGGAGTAGTCAGAAGCACTGTCAATTGTCGACAAAGACAAATGAAACTTTAAACATGCCTGCATTTCATTGGGTATACTTATATTTTAATTCAACTTGGCAGCCGGCTTTTGGAATATTTTTGGTTTATCGGTTTTTCCATCTCTGGCGTCAGTCAGAAGTATAAATAGACACACAAAGATTTTTTTACAATCGACCAGATTCTATCTCTCGACATTAAGGTTCATGTCGTAGTGCCCCACTAAGCCAGTATGCTCTTTGAAAAATATGACAGTTGAACAAATAACCTTATTTTTTTTATGTATCATTTGGCCACTGAATGCTTTTATTTCTGTTTTAAAATTACACGTCACTAAATACCAATTTTTCACAAAAGAAAAGGATCTCTATTTAGCTTATTTGTACGTATATACATTTTACACGTTCAAGATATTGGAATAACTTTTCAAATTAAAGAAAAAATACCTATACATTTATTCTAACACTAGATAGACTAAGCCGAGTAGAGTGGAACGTAAATATTTACTGCAAAATTATGATTGTATTACCATCGCTCTTGGGTGAGGGGACACGCAAGGTCCCTGAATACAGATAGAACGAATACTGAAGAATACCTACGCTGAAGTTTTATAGCGTGGACAGACTTTTCTTAAATCTACATATATTCCAAAACGGTAAAACGTTGATGTTGTTTTCATGTTTTGACATAAATATTATTATTGACAATAAGAACCAAAAATGAAAGATATTTTGAACCAAATCTATTTCAAGTCTAATAATAATAGTATGTAGTATACTAATATTCTAAAAGTAATAATTATTGTTCTAACCCAGATTCTAAAAATATAATTAAAAGAAAGTCGTTTCGGAATCGCTCAATGTACGATACACAGTCTAAATGCCTAATTAATTCAATGTGCTGTCGTCAACTCGAGATAAAAGAGAATTTGCGCGCGTAACTACATATATCTGGAAGCGCAGTCCTGGTATATTCTCCCGTAGTTTCTATATTTAGGTTTATTAGATTCGTAGTAAATTTGCTAAAAAAGAATATAGACAAAAATTCATCATACACTAATTTAAATATAATAATAGATATAACATAAATATTTTGTCTATATTGAAGACCAATTTAAATTGTGACATTTGCATATCAATTTACTTATTTATTACAGATTCAGTTCCATTGTTAGAATATAAGCCACAATAATATATATTATACATTTAATATATATTTAACATATTTGATTTTTTATATAATTATTACCAACTTGAAATTGGTTCTTTTTAGTTTTTTATTGGTTTTTTATTTACTTAAAACGCTATTTCCTCTTATTGTGATAATTTGTATTGATTGTAATTAGCATTATTTAAAATTGAGATTATTCACAAATGGGTTTTATATTAAGTTTATCAAAGTAAAAATTGATTTATTAGGAATAAAATGAATATTATGAACATAACCTACACATGAAATAGTATAAGAGTACTTACAATTTTAAAAATTATCTCTACATCCAATTCTAAATTTAAATTTCTGAATATGTATCAATGAAAAACTAATTTGTCTAAACTATAATAGAATAAATTTATAACTGAACTAACATGGGTCATATTATATATACAACTAAACTATTAGAATTATGGTTTCATAGTTAGAATTAGGGCTTGTTTAGTTTAGCTTAGTGAGGTAAGCGGAGTCACATTGAAATGTCCAATATAGCATATGTAAGTATATAATTTACAAGTTTGGTATAATAAATTATAACTTACATTTTCCTTGTGTATTAGAATATTGTCATATATAAATATAAACACTTTCTACATAAATAAGTACTATAAATATATTTGGTATCTAAAGTTTTAGTAATACTTCCATTATATTAAGCAATACTTTCAACTCAAATTTTAAATAAATACATCTAATAATTATTATTATCTATGGATATTTTTATATTGGTGGGATGACTAATAAACCAATAGCCCATGCTGCTGATGCTGCTGATGGAATACAGCAACAATGAATTATAAAAGTAATGACTATCATATAGATCAGTAAATATGTTAGTAGGTCTGTAGTGGCTCTAAGAATATTGCCTCAAGGAACAAAGATGATTTTCCATATTCTATAATATGACACTTCATATAACATACACACTGAACTAAGTAAATCAGCCCGATTCATAGTCACATATACAAGTCCATACAAACTCTCACTAATACTTCAATATTAGTTATCGGTCAACTTTAAGACACTGTAGACTCTATATATTTGTATATAATTAATGAATAAGATGTAGTACACTGCCTGTCTGTACACCCATACATGATAATTTAAAGAAAATTAAGTCAGGTCATTTTGTCAATCAAGGCAAATTCACTAAGAACTATGGTTTCTATTTATGGCCACTAATTGCCAGCAAAATACTAGACCCAAGAACTGTGGTACATCTATGTTGGTATATTATTTTGACTATGCTTGACATGATACCTACCAGTACATTAGACATACCATCTCACATGATGCCAATTATTTTAGTTCTTACTTAATATTAATTTAATTAGTCCGTTCTTTTACAAAATTATATAAAAAAATTAAAATCCTATCCTATAAATTCTATGAAAATTTTTTATGTAACGCCACTTGAGAAACTTCATTTTAAGAGCTCATGATGGAATAAGAGATTTTAAATCTCTTTCAATGTTTACCCCAACGGTAAATTCTTTACATAGAGCTGTAATTTATTTATACAGTTATATGCCTGGTCTCTAGCAATGGTATTTTATAATTAACAAATAGATAGCAAAAATTCCTTCATGCAATACTGATTTTAAAATAATAGAACTATTCAATATTTTTAAAATTGCATTTAACATTTGCTGGATATGGTAAACTTTAAATTAGAAATTAAAAAATACAATCAACAATTAACCAAATTTAAAGTATATTTTTAATTAATTTAAAAAATTGAAAATAGAACATAATTTTACTCTATTATTTAGTAGTAATTTACTGTTTTGATTATACAGAATTTAAATTTCCTGGGTACGGTTTTGCCTAACTATCTGTTCCAAATTTGATTTTCTTTAAATTACCAATTATGACAATAGCACGTGCTGACGCTGCAAATATTAGGTAAAACTACCGTTAGATTTGGGTAATTACGAAAGGAATTCTAACCTCTGCATAGCTTCGATTAATATGAGGAGCCAGCTCCTTGAGTGCGACGGACAGGTCGTGGATGTCAATCTTGCCATTTCCATCGTTGTCTAATTTAGAAAACAGTTTTTCTAATCTTTCTTCGTCTTCTTTTGGCAATTCCTCTAATTCCAACGGCGGATGACACTGCATCATGGTGTCTATTGTATACGTAAGTACTTCTTGTTATACAACAAGATAATATATCTTCATACGATTTCGTATGGGCATACATAACTCTAGCCTAACAAATTAATTTCTCGATAACATTTTCTGGAAATTCGCACTCGGTTTCCAACCATTCAAATGGTTTTTGACAGCTACTTTGCGGGTTGCGCACTACGCACACATACGTAATACGTCTGGGTCACACATTCTCAAAAAGTTAAATAAACACGTGCGTCTCTACCATAAACGAAGTCTCTACACTCCACTTTCCCAATGCGCTTATATTTTCTAGGCCATTACTACCTAACGCCATCTATTTTGCCAATGGCGAATTATTAAGAATGCACGTACTATTGATTTTACAAAAGGAATGCTAGACCCGCAGTAGTATCACAGTTATATAATTTTTATTACATTTAAAAAGTTATGGTTGTTATATTCATATAATTGATTGTACACATCTTACATCTTTACTACAATAATAACGTAATCGGTCTTTAAAAATACTTCTTAAAATTCCTTTACCTCAAAAGGCATTCTTATATAATATACTAAAAAGTATCATAATAGGTATACAGATTAAACTATTGTCAAAGTACTATGCCAAAAAGACCACCATACCATCACACTGCAAAACAGTCGTGATAAATTCCTATTGGATGGGCGAACTGAGCTGCAGTATGGCCTGCCAGTGTAAACCTATCGGCACACCTACCAGCACAGTTACACAATTCCATTATCATTTTATAATCTATCAATAAATTATATGGGTGTGTAAAATGACCTTCAATATAGTTGTAGAAAAAATCATCAAAAAGTTTATACTGATTAAATTGTTTCTAGAAAAAGTAAACCGTATTTTACAAAATGGTAATTCAAAACTACAAAACGACAATTATTATAAACTATTATGTAGGTATACATTATATTTGAACATCATCATATATAATTTAAACATCCGAAATAATATTTAAGGCAGTTTTTATATTTTTCTATAACCCATAAGGAAATTATGGTTATTAAAATCTCCGTTGTGCTTATTGGAGTTGTTATTTAACTATTTTGTTACTTAAAAAATTCCTAGATGACGCTACTGTATTCTTTCATCACATCATATTGTCAAGTGTACCTAGAGGGCGCTGCGTGCCTTGACCTGATTTTTTTAACTAATAAATATGGATTCGTATATCCACATCCACCTAACGTTATTTGCTGTTGGGGTGGTGGGGCATCAATGGTGGATGTTAGCAAGATCTTGAAATCAGGACATCGAGCCCATCTTGACGAATTCACTAGGAGTTAAATACAATTGTTTCGAGAGAGGACCGCTGCCTGACATAGTATATTGCTGATAGAGACATCACACCTTATTATTAATTATTCTCTCTCCCCTTCTTTTATCGTCCTTTTGAATAGATAATTTTTGTAAACCATAGTTTAATGATTATTATACCTTTGCTGTGTCATGATAATTTAATAAGAAACGTAGTGATTGTTTACTCACTCATGAGCATCAGTGCCAACTGAAAAAAGACTTTCAGCACATCATGGCGAATACGTTAAGAGTTTTGTGTAAAAAAATAGATTTCCGCATACACTGAGGCGAAAGCTTTTATACGAATGATAATGGTTTGGTGCACCTGCCTGTGCTATATGCTTTTTTTTCTGTTCTTTGTATATATATAATTATCAATTAGTAATTGTACTATAATGGGATTGGTTGGTAAATTACTTTGTAAGTCTACAGTCCAGTGAGTGCACGACTTTTTATTTAATAGATTCCTCCGGCGCTTTGATTAGATTTCAAGACCCGGAGTACACTTTGTCCAACTCCAGTATATGTTTCCTTTTCAGACGTTTTGGGGGGTTGTTAATGAGTAACCTCTGGGCTAGCTCATTAGGGTGGACACTCAGCCGAGCCTTGTATTTTAAGCTTGTGCTAGCAACCTCCTCTCGTACTGTAGGTAAATTCGAGAAATTATGGATCTCCGAGTTGGTTATAAACCATGGCTTAAGAATGGTCTTCAAGATAACGTTCTGGGACCGTTGGAGAATTTCAATGTTGGAGCTACTAGCACTTCCCCACAGTTGTATGCCATAGGTCCAAATTGGTTTGATGGCTACCTTATAGACAAGTAATTTATTCTCTACTGAGAGGTTAGTTTTCTACCCAAGAGCCAATACAAATTCCTGAATCTGATGTTGGTTTCATCTGATGTTGGGTTCTCCAGGTGAGCCTCCGATCCAAATGAAGATACAAGTATCTGACAGAATCAACATGATGCAAAGTTTGATTAGCTAAGGCAACTGGTGGACAATTACCCTTTCGGAGAGTGAAGGTGATTTGAAAGGATTTAGTGGAGCCAGCCTTAATTCTCCATTTCTTTAGCCATTCGTCTATTTTGTCCAGTTGGGTTTGCAATATCGCAGTAGCTATCTCGGGCTTAGGGTGGCTTGCTAGAATAGCTGTATCATCAGCGTATGTAGCTGTTATGACATTGTCAGTCATCGGCAGATCAGCTGTGAATAATATGTATAGGTATGGTCCCAGCACAGATCCCTGAGACACACCAGCTATTATTTCATAGAGCTCCGAGCAAGCACCTTCCTCTTTTACCTGGAAGATCCTATCCTGTGCTATATGCTAGCGGGCCATCAGTGGAGGTTTATAATATGAGCTAAAAGTTCAGGTCAGCCACGATGGTTTCCTTGGAACTACAGGGAGGTCAACCGGAAGGCGCATGCTAGTCGTAGGTATATTGCTGACCTCCTCGTTGATTCCCCTGGAAACCATTGTGGTAAATTGCTGTTTGCCAAGATAAGCTAACAGACTTAACTTCATGTTCATTTTATCATCCTCCACTGGTGCCCCGCCAACGCAACCGTTGCAGATTGCAGACGTGTGTACCAATTGAAGGGGAAGATGAAAGGTTGTATGGCAATATCGAAGCTTGAAACTTATGTTTTAAACTGTTGATTAAATATAAATAAATATCACATTCATATTTTTTAAAAATATAATATATGAATACCGTTAAATGAGTAAAATAAAAAAGAGCAAGAAAGTTTGTATGGAAATAAGTCATTCGTCGTCTATTCCACGCGGACGAATTCGTAGGCCTACCTAGTCTATAAATTTTATATTTAAGCAATAATAATCACAAATATTTTTTGTGAGCTCTTACAGAAACTGTCAAGTTATTTACAGGCGCATCATCCCGTTACAATAAGTCACATTCAGTAATGCAATCACGTAGCCGGGTCCCGCGACATGACACTATTATAATGGACCTACCCTATTATACATCATTAAATTCACTCAATAATCGAGCAATATTTCGCTAAGTAGACCTTTCTACAAATATAATTCCCTTTGCCATCTCTCTCCCACTGAAGCGATAACGCACGTGTTCGAGAGGAACCCGAATATCTATCATAAATACGTAGTAACTGTCATCGGGTTTCAACCAATAAACCCGTGGGGATGGCATGGCTATTATATGAAAATGACAATACACAAATTGACGCGGCCGAAAGACTATAAACTCTAGAAGTTAATACGCTCTGCCGCAGCGCTGCACTGCAGCATTTTAAATTCAATTCTATTATTATTCCTTTAAGGGTAAAAATAGTCGAATATATCTAATTTGTTTTAGCAACGAAATGTGGACCTTGACTACAAGCACAAAAAGTGCAATATTAAATGGATTCAATGGTGACATTGTTAAAATATCAGACCGAGGCAAAAAATATCTTAAAAGGGAGTGAACAAAAGCTCATAAAAGTTGGAGATTAATCGGGGATTTAGACACAATATAGACGTAGAGCACACATGTCGGGCCAAACTTAGTGACGTCCGCACTTGGTTTGTTTGTCAATGACGTAGTGACACGAGGGTACCATCCCTAATAATTACAACGCGAATTGTGTGCATTACAATTGGGTTATGATCTGCGTGCAGCTTTTCGTGTCAAATGAGAGCGATTTAATTTATAAATACATGTTTTTTATTATTAGTTATTCATGTCTGAGTAATAAAAAGCGGTTGGAGTTCTATAAGTAGGTATAAGTATATACAATAATTTAGACACTATATATATAGTATATTAAAAATATAATTGCTCAGAATGCCGTGTCGTTTACACAGCCATTTATCTGTGCCAAGCTAAGCAGAGCTGGATGGATACATATAGATATCTAATGGATACTAAACTACAGATATGAATAGGTACCTACATAAATTTATTTTTTATGTATACTTTCATAGAAAACAGCCAGGTCAATACAAATAGTCATATTTTTGATAACAAATATTTGTTCGCGCGAGAATTCCCACCTCTTCATAACCGAGAGCTGAATATACTCCTAGGTTATGTACGTATCCTGACACTCATACTCAAGTATGCACCTACTCACCTGCAAGAACCCTGGAGTGACGGGTACTCATGGGGAGTCGTAATTACTTATCATCCATAATTCTTAAAAGTCGTGTAATATATTTACTATAGTGTACTAATTATTTTTATGTAATTGGAATGGCATACAAACTAACGGCTCACCCAATGTAGTAATAAGCGACTATTGCCTATACACATGAACAGTTCTACGGATATGACATGAAGTCTTAAAGTGACGCGCGCGGTACCCTTCTTGCTTCAACATTTCGGAGTACTAAAGATATAATACCTCCATATTCTGTGATTTCTAATTGACTCTAACTCTTACTGACTGTTACAGTGTGTACTTGTGCGTAAGCGTTTTTATTGTCAATACAGTTATTTAAATAAAATAATTTCATACGTGATACAGAATATCAGCACAGGATCGGCAGAGGCGATAGCTTCTTATATAGGGATGAGCGAGTAAATATATATAATAAATGTATATCTTTAATAATTCGATCTCTTATTTAACGATCGTATATCTATAAATCCTGGGGTGCTTTTTACTTTTATTACAATCCTAAGGTAATAGGTAATAGACCTGTTTTCAACATAATTGAGGCGCTATTATTATTAAACGTAACGAATGTCTGAAATAGAGAACTAAATAAATAAAAAGAAATTAAAAATAGATTTTGAACTTGAACGTAGATTAGGCGCTATTACCGCAGTGGATCTGATTAAGTAGACCTATGTGAACAAGGACTATTAAATGAAGATATTAAATGTTTACTCATACCTGGGCCATTTTCTTCTTATCTATTTTATATATGATACTAGCTGATCCCGCGATTTAGTCCGCGTGAAATTTAACTTTATTTTTCTAAAATAAAAGTAGCCTAAGTTATTCCTTATTACATCTCCTACCTGCCAAAAATAGTTCCGTCAAAATCGGTCCAGCCATTTCAGAGATTAGCCGGAACAAACAAACTGATAGACAGACAGATGTAAGTTGTAAAAAATGATATTTTGGTGTATGTACCATATTTATTCAATATTACAAACAGACATTTCAATTTTATTTATATGTAGGTATAGTTTACGTAAATTGCTCGCCTGAACAGGCCCTGAAAGGATGATTGAATTCGAATTCTTCTAGAAGAATTGTCCATTTTGGTTAATATAGATAATTATACAATAATCGAAATACAATTAATTGTTGATTAGTCATTTATTAATAAATTATTTGAAAACCCTACTCGAACAAAAACTTTTAAATAAAACTTTTTAGTATTAAATAATATTGCTTTATTTACAGAATATCACCTCTCAGTACGTATAATTATTATTTATATACAATTTATTTTCTATAGTACTTACATTGTCGTATTTTCATGTAACTTTAATAGTTTCGTAATGATAAATATAAACTAGAGTATTTTTTCATGACTGGTATTTAAAAAAATATGGCGTAAGTACATATGTATTTTCCGCCGCAAATGCATGAGTGAACTTAAGATAGGAATATATAGTTAATTGTAAAACACTATTTTTTATAAACCAAGCTAGATATGTACCTATGCATTTAAAATGTTTAGTTATTTTAGCTCTTACCTATATGTCGGATGACTTCCTTGCCGTAATTAGAAAATTAGGGAATCTGTGCAATATAAAGTGAAAGTCATATAGTCAGGATAAAATTATTCTTGACTAGATTATTCATCATAAAAATAGGCCTAAACTTATAAACTTTTTATACAAAAATCTGTTAATTAATATAACAGATAAATACAATGTAATTAAGGAGGTATTATAATATACTTCGGAAGTAAATACTCAAGATTGTATAAAAAATTATAAATATATATTTTTTTAAGACAATAATTTTACATACTGTTTATCAATCAAAAGATTCGAACCGTAACTTTTCTAGACGTACCTCTTGTAGAACACTTCCGTAGGCCTATTTTCAGTTGACCATAAAAACGTAACATATTTTTCTTCTACTTTCAATCTAAAGGTTTGCTATATTATTTCCAATTATTCACTACTATTATAAATGTAAATAAGTAATATAAAAATATATTGATTATATCACTGTTAAAAAATACTGGAAAGATATTTACGATATAAAACTAAAATTGCAACTTTAAGCGGTATCTTTCCCAGTTCTGTACATATCCCCGATGATCCTCTCAATTGGAATTTCGCCTATCGTGGCACGGAAGAACAACTCGACGATTGTGGTGCTTGATACTCTTCTGATGATGGGTTGAAGTTGGAGCAGCAGACTTAGACGAGTCACTTCCATTGGGTAAGATCTTAAGATATACTGTAAAAAAACATTTTTTTTTATTTTGTTATGAAGGTCAGAAAGTGTATAAAAAATATTTTTGTAGTTCTAATTGTAGACCAAATGTGTAAATGCACGACTAAGTACATATCATAGATCAACTATTATCTATATTATGATTATTCCATGTACAAACAAGACCAATGCAGAATTAACGATGGTATTTCGAGAAATATACTATACATGTACATATATATTTACATGAATTACCTAGTTATATCAGTACCACTATAACATTGTAAACTATATAGATACTTTGATAAAACTCTTACCTCGCTGAGAACGCTTTGCGAATGATCCTGTAAAGATGCAACAGCAGGAAGATCTTGTAATCTCTTATAATCTGAACTAGTTTGAGACGGACTGCCACCCTCATTTTTTTCATTAAAACTTGTTTTGAACAATACTATTGCTCTGAGACACGCAAATTCATTGCTATCAGGACGTAGTTTTGCTATTTCTCCAAGAGCTCTCTCAAAGTTTTCTATATCTCTGGCCTCTATTCTAGAACTCTTAGAATTTAGTAGTATGTTCAAATTCATTGGATATAAGAATTGAGCTGATCCAATCACAAAGAGATCTCTCCAAGACTCTTCCAGAAGAAGTAGTCTGTCAGATAATGATAAAGATGAAAAAGCCGGTACGTTTTTGGCCCATTTTACATTCATGAATAGAAGCCTCGCGGCTGCTTCACACATTGCTTCAGGGTCCGCTGGAGTCAAAAACGACGTTACAACAGGCGGTGGTGATGGAATCTTTACTGGGCCTGGTATTGATGAAGGAATGGGCAGACTGATTCTGTTATAGGCGTACGGATTATGAAATAAGGACATCGAGGGTGGAGGTAATAAGTTATGTTTTGGAATAGCGAGATCCAGAGCCGATGGTACAGGTAACCCTATATCTGAGGACGGTATAGATGGATCTTTAAGAAATAATGCCATTTGGCGTCTAATGGTCGAGTTCCGGGGCCCTCTTTCATGTTGCACGGCTGTAACAAAGGAATAAAAAGCACTTTATTATGCTTATCCTACTATTGCATCAACACGCCATATAAACTATTTCTGATAGAAATAGGTAATTTCTAATAGTTTTTTTTTCTGTAGTAAACATAATCATCCATGAGGTCAATGATGTCTTAAAAACTTAATTTTATTGATCCAATTATCTTTAGTCATGTCAATCGTTAAACTTAAGTTGAATTTAGCTATTTCTACAACATCACCGTGCACAATGATGGAGAAAAGACATAAAACAAAAAGCAAGTGTTATATATATAATTGAATAAAGAGTATTTATTATCGACATAATGCTTACCGTCCTTATTCATACCAGCGTCAATACATTTAGTTAATCGACACGCACGACATTGGTTTCTATGTGCTTTATCCACCAGGCAGGCACCGGGATTCCTAGCTTTACAGGCGTATCTTCTGTCTCTTCTCACAGACCGCTTGAAGAATCCTGCGCAACCATCACACGCGAACACCCCATAGTGTTTTCCTGATGAATGATCTCGGCAGACTGCGCAAGGAACGTCGTACAGGATGCGACCTTTTAGTAAATTACAATATTTAATTTAAAGTTAGTTATGTGATTACAAATATAAGTACTGTTTGGTTTAGATCTGGTGAATTAGTATCATAATATCATACGAATTGTATTATTTTTGTCCTTGACAACAACTCAATTTTGAGGCTGCTCCTCATTTCTGTGACGTCATATAGTTACAATTTAACAACATTGAGCCGAGTGTAAACTAGTCATCAAAACAATTGAAATATATTAACTGTTAACAAAACTTTCTATGTAGTACTATAGAGTACACACAGTTCAAATTTAGTGTTTTAATAGGTATTTGGATTAAATCACGAAATTTTGTATACCTCCCACCCTTGACAAACAATGTCGTTGTCGAGCCCCTCCAACCCTTCAAGCTGTGTCTTAAACTTAAAAAAAAACAGGCTATGCCTACCTACTATACAGATACGTATTCTAGCAGGTTTCTACTGGTTGTCTTTGGTACTTACCATGGAATTAATAATTCTAGAAATCCAAATATAAGATTGTTTTTATTTTAATTAGGGGTCTCAGTGTAGTTTTTATTTTGTGGTAATTATTGAAATAAATGCAATTTAAATGGTACTATATGTACTTACTAATGGTAATATTAACATTTATAGTACATACATTATGTACTTATATACAAGTTACACTTGTTAAAAGTAATAACATTAAAATATTTTTTTAAACATGGAAGTGTTAATATTTATTTTATTTTTTGTATAACAATATGTGATATGACAGATATTAGAAATGTTTATATAATGAGGAACTGTCTGAAAAATACGTAGGCACAGTAAACATTTTTTGCGGCGCCCTTGTGATATAAAGGCGTCAACCGTCATAAATCAATGCTACAAAATGTCATTAAGTTACCTCAGTATTATATTGTGGACTATAAATACTTAGGGGCAGGGTATGATTGGCTCCACCCCTGAGGGAGCCAAGTAGGTACCCCGCTAGCTTATTGTCTAATGATTGCACTGCTAAAAGAACAACCTAGAGGACCATGGATTTTTGTTTGATGATTGACTATTGTTAGGGTAGGATGCAATTTATTAAATTAAGAACTCTATTATTGTTCTTTTATGGATATGTTTATGACTTTGTTTTCCGAAGTTTATATATATTTTTATATATTGATGTAGCTACCGATTTCATTGTAGTGTATACGCTTATTGTTCAAAACAAATTAGGCATAAAAATATATTTATTTAGCAATAAAGCATTATAATATACATACCAAGTAAGTATCTAAAAGTTACATACTACATATTTTACTAAATTAATTATCAAAATATAACGTATTATAGAATTCAGTTAAATATGTTTTAATAATGTCTGTAAGGTACTTATGAGAAATATGAATCCATCTTTAGCATTCCAACTCTAAGTACACTACAAAAAATATCAATGCAATTTTTTTGTATCATCAACTTCGTACTCGCATTGCTAAACGATCCCACGACGACCGTTTATCGCGGCTTACAAGATAATACACCTTTATTAATATGCCTCCAAACATCAGTCGAAAAGGCACAAAGGCACATCCATTCAATGAGACATCCCATTTCAAATAAACCATGCACGTGAATACACTTGCAGGGCAGGAAACGCGGTGTCGAATATAGAACGAGAAAAAAATATTCACAAAACTGCTCGCAATAGACAAAGCCGAATAAAAGATAAGAAGTGGGGTTTCGGAATAATGTTTCGTACTTAAAATAAAACGGTCATAGATAATGACAGGTTTGAAATATAAACGTTATGATGACTTTGCTGGCGTATAAAATATAACCTTACCTATACACTAGTGGAGTACCTATTTATTTTGCGTGTGAGTATATTTCTGATGACCCTGGCCAAGACAGCAGCTGCTACATTGTAACAATGATCACAATGTCAACATATTCCGCCCATTTCACATCAATTTATTGCAGAGCATTCTATAGTTACTGTTGTGTATTTAGTATATTATTATGTGCCAAATGTTTTATTTTGTTAATAGTTATAATATTATGCTTTAGCTAAATTTATCATCGAGTTAAAAGTCATTATATAATATGTACATTGTACATATTGCTTACTATGTTAGACAGACAGAGCATTTAATGTGTTAATAGAAACTACGATTTAGCACCCCGCTTTACTTTTGATGGTCGAGAGATCGATACCTCACAAGGTGCAATAATTTCTATTCATGAGTATGTATCGTTCTGGATGTTTTTTATACAGATTACGTATGTAATTACAAAAAAAAATATCTAAGTATTTATATCAGTCGTCTAATACCTATAACACAAGCTCTGCGTATATACCGTGAGACTAAATGGCATGTTTTGATGTCCAGGGTTATTTATAAAAAAAACTAAATCGTCATCATCATTTGATTGAGTATCTTACATTTATATATTTTTGCATATGGTCAGATTGTTTGATATACTGATTGCGAGAAATTAGCACTATGATTTATACCGACCGTTGGTACCAACCTTTTACGAATTGAGCCAAAATTGAATATATGTAACAATTAAATTCAAAAATCGTACTGAACAATAAACTTATTAACTTTGTTGATGATACTGTATTTCTTGGTATCACATTAGACTCCAAACTGCAATGGGGTGCTCATATTTCTAAATTGGCGAATAGACTTAGTTTTAACAGACTACTGATAGTTAATTAACAGACGTGGCAAAGGCTAAACTCGTTTATTTTAGTTATCTTCATAGCATTATCTCATACGGTATTTTATTATGGGGCAAAGCAGCTGATATAAATACAGTATTTATTTTGCAAAAGAGGGCCATCCGCTCCATTTACAGTATGGGTTCCAGGGAGTCTTTGCGTGAATGTTTTAAAGAGTCAAATATCGTCACCGTTGCTTCTCAATACATCTACGAAAATATAATGTATGCCAGGAAAAACATTAACAGTTTTAAAAAAGCAGGTGATTACACTAATAAAAGCTTACGTAATGTCCACAAACTAAGTGAAGTGAAGACTACCAGAGTCTGTAGTCAATTTGCCAGAAAAAAATCAAATCTGTCATAAAATATTTTCTTTGTAAAAAAGCCTATTAGAAAATTGAAGAATTTATAAATGATAATAATGTTTTTGTAGAAAATGTCTACCTTAAAATTCATAGCGCTGACAATGTTATCTGATTGAACAGAGATTAAGTGAGTAGCGGTTTCTATATTGATTGTCGCATGCCTAATCCTTGTTTTTAATTAAATATAAGTAAATCAATATTTATTTAAAAGAGCAACACACAAGTTTCTTGCTTATTCTTCTTGCGATGAATCTGCATTCCGAATAAGCGGTAGAATAAAAAAACTTGACTATTCAAAAGTGCTTATATTAAGTTTATTTGAATAAAGATTATTTCTATTTCTCTATTTCTATTAAACAACTAACAGTTTCACACAACCAATGTCTTGTTGTAAGTCGGATATGTATATTTGTATAAAATTATATTATAAATAACTTGCAAAATATGTTTTGACGGAAGTTTGATTTCAACAAACTAGTTTTTATACAAATTATACAGTTTTATAACTGCTACAGATTACTGTAGCAGTTATAAAACCAACTAAGTAGACTAAAAGGTTTCACCGATCCCCGTCTGGTCACTTAACTATAGGGTATTGACAAAACGACAAAATAATTGAAGATCCTATTATGCTCTAAACGGCTACAGCGCAGTCCATTGTACAATTTCACATACATCCAAAAACCATACCAGATGTAGACAAATTGCGAGAAGAGATCGCTAAGGAGGACAACGAAAAGATATCATCATAAAAGCCACGCCCCCTCTGTCAAGTGTACGACTATAGAAAATTATACAAAACATTGTTCATTAAAAAATATGAAAAAAATTGCTATTGTCTAATACAAATACACAAAATGTAGATAAACAAAGTTCCAAATAAAACATGAACAGTATGTTTCTTATGTAGTACGAGAATGAACAAAATCTTCAAAGTTAAATCAATATTAAATTACTTACAAGAAACCACTTCATATTTTGTTTGTAGTTCATAGTTACTGTATAATAGTTACAGATTTGTTTCAATTATCGCGAGCCTGGATTGCAGATTATAAAGCAAAAAATTAAAAAATATATATTTTAAAATAGGTAATAAATTACTGATCATTATAAATGGCAGTAAGGGCGCTATCGCTTCACATCGTCCATAAGCACGATGTTTATCATTTAACCGTGCGACTAACCACCTGTATCAGAGTGACCCGCTCATCGCTCGCGTGACACCTACGTAACGTACGAGCATATTAATCGTCGAGGGCGATAGGGCGCATGGGATGCTCTTTAAACTGTCATTTATTTGACCCTGTAAATGATATAGAATTTCCCACATCAATTTTCTAATGGAATAATGGGATTATTGTTAATTTGTCTTTTTTAAATTGGCATACAGACGTGCTGAAATTCGATTTGACAGCCTGCTGTTATTGGGACTGCATTGTCCAATATCAGAAGGGTTCGGAGTTTTAATTACTTTTGGGCATGGTATCCTCTTAATCATGTAACCAAAATTATTCGTTGGAAATTGGCTTAGATAGCAAAGATGGAATGTTTGTTACAGGCATTTTTTTATTTGTTAATAGACACATGTTTTGAAGAAATGATATAGTAATCATTCAGATTTATAATTAAATTAATTGTATACACTATGATTTATAAAAATATTATTTTAATACAAACTATTATATTCACTATTTTATTATACTATTTTCAATACTCATTTTATTCATTTTCAAACGTACAAATATTACAAAATTGATTATACATTGGACCCCGCACGGTATCGCGGGAGTCCACAAAAGAATTGCCAAATAATTATTAACTATTACAGATCAGTGAGTTTGACATATCAGACTAATTATGATTTTTTAGTATGATTTCATAAAAACACAATTACTGACTACATAAAAATTAAATAAAATAAACAGAGAAAACAAATGATAATACGAAAT